AGAGAGAGGAACCAAAAAAACGAACCAAACCCACTGCCAACGAGTTGATCCTGACTCATGGTGACCCCCAGTGGGTTTCCAAGGTGGTAAATCACTACTGAAGTAGATTGCCCAGTCTTGCTTCCATGCAGTGCTGGTGGGTTTGAACCACCAACCTTCTGGTTAGCAGTCAGATGTCTTTGGCACTGTGCTACCAGAGCTCCTTAGAGAGAGGAAAGAGGATGCTAAAGGCGAGAGAGGAACTGTTGGGGCTGTGATCCCCGGTGAAGGGGTAGGATGTGGTGCATCAGTGGGGGAGCTGACTTTGGGTGGGAGCACAAACAGGTCATCCACTGAAGCAGAAGGGAAGGTGATAAATGCAGGGACAAATAGAGAGCGACTGGAAATGGCAGCGGTGAGGATCTGTGGACGTTCTCCTGTGACTGCTTCTATTTTCTCAATAAAAGATGAAGCTAGGTCAGCCACCAAGGATATGGACAGAAGGTGTCACAAGGCTTTGAGATAGAGAAAGTATGAAATAATCTTCTAGGACAGTGTTTGTTTGTTTGTTCATTTTAATTTCAGCTCATGACCTAATACACTAGGATACAACAGTTGTCTGTGGGGTTGATTCTGACTCATGGCACTGCCATGTGTGTCAGAGAACTGTGCTCTGTAGGGTTGGTTCTCAGTGGCTGCTTTTCTGTAAGGAGATCACCAGGCCTTTCTTCTGAGGCACCCAGAGTGACCGAGTAGTTGGTCTTAAACCCAACGTAGTGATTTAATATCAACATTTAAAAAATAAATAGAATTAAAACATAGACTGGGCTGCATGTATTGAGTAAGAATTGTTTAATAAGAACTCTATTTCAGTTTCCTTGCATGTGTGTGTCTCTCTATGTGTGTTTGTGTGTGTGTGTACCAGGTTGTAAACAAGAATAGTTCAGGACAAGGGGAGTAAATGAACAAAGGGCTGTTGAATAAAACCAGGGTCCAATTTAGCAGGGATAGATTTAAAATATTTTCATGTAAAAAGAGATCATGATTGGACTCATAGAATGTTGACATTAGGCATGCTTAGAGGACCACAATCCCTCGCTTCTTCCTGCCCTCCATTACAGGAAATCTTTCTGCTTGAATGTTTACGATGAGAAGCTGACCTGTTTAAATTTTAGATGCCACGATGTAACATTCCTCTCCCTAAAAAAAAAAAAAAGAAAAAAATGTGTTAGTCTGCTTCTGTAAAGATTACAACCTTGGAAACACTGTGGGCCAGCTCTACTCGATCCTGCAGGGTCAATAGGAGTCACAACCAACTAAACAGTAAGGAGCAATCTGAAGTTTGAGCTTATGACCTAATACTCGACTCGACTTCCACAGCTTGTCTTCATTTCAGAGATCACTAAATGTTCTAAAACAAAACCAGGAGCAGAACACCAAGAAATCTTGTTTGGTTCAAGCTCTAGCCCAGAAAGGTACCATTTGGATTTTCAGTGTGAAAGCTCCCTTTCCTCCTTATACTGCACTAATTGCAATTTCAACCAATGATGAGTATGGTTTATGCCTATATTGTCTTCCTCTTTCAAGATTTGTTGTTGGACTTGTGGATGATTCCAATCAAATACGTTACTTAAGAAAACTATCACCCACTGATGACATTTACAAGTAAAGTCAATGATGACTGTATATGCCTCAGTTGCTGAAGTAGTTTCCCTGTAAAATACATTAATGAATGCTGCTTAAGAATAGGTTCTGTGAAAATGGCCATTTATATTTTTTAATAATGATCACAGGGTATTTTTCTGACACTGTAGTTTGGAGTGATAAATGTATTTCTCTCAACCAAAAAAAAAAAAAAAAACTCACTGCCGTCGAGTTGAATGCAACGCAACTCACTGCCGTCAAGTTGAATCCAACTCATAGCGACCCCTCCTTGGGTTTCCCAGGTGGTGTGTCCACGAAAGTAGATTGCCCAACCTTCCTCCCAAGGAGTGGCTGGTGGTACTTTTCTAGTTCTACATCTTATCTGAGTGTTAAAAATGGTTTGGAGATTATTATTAACACTATTCACTTGATCAAGTCTGAAATCATATATGAGTTTTTTAAAGCATAATTTTCTTTCTTATTGTAAAGGCAATCAGCCATAAAACATTATATATAAAACATATTTTTCCTTTGCAATGATGTTTTCTGTCTACTGTGTGATTTACATAATTTTGAAATACTGAAGTAACAGAAACTGAAATCAGATTTAAATACTGGTGTTGATAGGTGTCACTGAATCAGCTCTGACTCATAGCACCCTAATATATAATAAAAAGAAACACTGCCTGGTCCTGTACCATCCCTTGACAAATGAAACCCTTGACAACTTCTATATTTTCTCCGTTTAAATAAAATGAAAGAACAATTATTGCCATGTTGGAACCCACTGTTGTAACCACTGTGTTAGTCCTTGTCGCTGAAAGTCTTCTCACTGATCCTCTACTTTACTAAGCATGACTTCCTTCTCCAGGGACTAGTCTCTCCTGATAAAACGTCTGAAGTGTGTGAGACGAACTCTCACCATCATTCCTTCTAAGGAGCATTCTACCTGCACTTCTTCCAGGACAGATTTGTTCATTCTTCTGGCAGTCAGTGGTATATTCAATACTCTTCACCAATGCCACAATTCAAATGCATCAATTCCTCTTTGGTCTTCCTTAGACAGAGTCCAGCTTTTGCATGCACATGAGGTGATTTAAAATACCAGGGCTTGGGCCAGGCACACCTTAAGGGAGCTCTGGTGGTGTAATAGGTAAGGCATTTGGCTGCTAATCAGAAGGTTGGCAGCTCAAATCCACCAGCTGCTGCACAGGAAGAAGATAAGTCAATCTACTTCAGTAAACATTTACAGTCTTTGAAAGCCAATGGCAGCCACTATGAGTTGGAGTCCAGTGGATGGCAGTGGGTTTGGTTTTGTGGTGGGGTCAGGCACACTTTAATTCTCAAAATTATCTCTTTGCTTTTTAACTTGAAAGATGTTTTTTGCAGCAGATTAGTCCAATGCAGTAAGTCATTTGATATCTTGATCACTGTTGCCATGGGATCCAAGTAAAATGAAACCTTTGACAACTTCAATATTTTCCCCATTTAAATAAAATTAAAGAACAAAAATAAAGAAAAAAGGAGAATCAAAACTCATAAAAACGCACACTCGGTCTGCATAGTAAAAGTGTGAAAATTTGTAACATTAAATGTTCCATCTTAGCCTAGTTGTAAAGCAAAAGCAAGTGGAGTCTAAATCCATTTTTTATTGCTTTTGGAATTAGTCTTTTCTAGGTTTCTTTCAGCAGGTTCACTTCAAGAAAAGCAGTTAAAATTACAGAACAGGAACGTGAAATTCATGCCTTATTATGTAGTATCACTTAGTTATTCTTTATCTAGGCCTTCAAATATATATGTATGTATATATATATATATGTAATATGTATGTATATATATATATATGTTTTTGTTTTTTGTTTTTCCTATGGAAAATGTTTCTTTAGGAAAGGAAACGCAGGGAATTAGTTCCTCTTCTAAGGCTTTAAGGGAGAGTTCTGCCAAACAGAGCTCTCTCCCTTCCATTTTGCAAGCCTCAACAAGTTGGCTGCTGAGTCAGAACCTCCTTATTCCCCTGATGTGAGAAATTTTTTTCCCTTGGAAATACACAAAGCTTCGGAAATGTTTAAATTAGAGTCTCCCCGGGGGAAAAGGGCAGGGATGCCCGCGTGAATGTGGCAGGGAGGAGGCCTAATAATCTCTCATTCAATGCCTTTAGGAAATAGTGAGACTTGGAGCTGGCCCAGGGTTAGTTACCAGGAGAGCTCGGCTAGGAAGCATTATATGCAGATGTGTGTGTGAATAACCACACTGACTTAGCTCTTCGCGGCTGAAGTGAAAGTGTTTGGTACACATTCCGGGCTCCGGTGCCGACTGTTTACCCGACAGAAAACACCTTCACGCGCTGCAGGGAAGCGGATGACAGCCGCCGCCTGGGAGGCTGAAGACGGAAACAAACTAGGAAAGCCCTTATAGGGCAACTAGGGTGCTTTCAAGGCGGGGACCTGGTGGCGCAGGAGTTGTGGGCCAAACAGCAGGCAAAGCCTGGACGAGCCAGTGTGCCTGCCAAAGCACCAAACTGAGCCGGTGGGCGGGAGGACCCGGGGCGCCCAGCTCCGTTAGGGGCCACGGCCAGGCAGCCGCCCGATTCTTCCGGGGCGCCAGGCAGTGCGCGCCCGTGGACGACCCGGAGCTCTGCCCCGCCGGGATCCCGGGTCTCAGTTTCCCCCGGGCGCCAACCCGGCCCAGAGAAGCCCGGGCCGCTGAGGCCGGACCTCACGTGACCGAGGGCGGGGCGGCGGTGACAGGAAGGAGGTGGGGCAGCGGAGGGCGAGGGAGGGGCTCGTGCTCCCCAGGGTGGGGAGGGGCCGTTGCCCAGGAACCGCCGCGCCGCCTGAGCCTGCTCGTCCCCGTGCGCGCGCGCCCGGCGCTCGAGATCCCTATCAGCCGCCCGCCGCCTCAACCGGCCTTTCCTTTCCCCTCGGTGCGGGAGGGGCCCGAGGGCACGCGCCGTTGGCTCCTGCTCTCCCTCCGCCCCCAAGAAGCGCGAGCTGCGCAGCGTGCGCGCGCCCCAAGGCGAGCCTGCATATTAATGATGGGCGGGGCCGGGGGCGGGGCCGCCTCGCGCCCGCGCGTGCCGCGACGCGCCGGTGGGGGCGGCACGATTGTGAGGTGGCGGTGACACTGGTTCCGGGGTTCTTAAGCGGCCGGGACAGCGGTGGCGGCGGCGGCGGCGGGGCCCCAGCCGGTCTCGGGAGGCGGCGAAGACCGCCGTGAGGGGTGACGGGCCGAAGTCGGCCCTCCCTCGGCTCAGTCACTGTGTCCCCTTCTCACTGACTCCCCCTCCTTCCACCACGGCCGCGCCGCCCCAGATCCGGCGGCTTCCAAGGCGGGGCACGGGCCGGGGCGCGTCTTCTCCGTAGCCGCCCGCCTGATAAATGAGGGACTTCGGGTTCGGGGTCCTGAAGGCAGCCCCGCTCCGCAGCAACAGCAGTAGCAGCCCCGGGCCCCTGTTGAGCGGCGGGGCGTACCGCCCCTCCGCCGCGGGGCCCGCCGCGGCCGCCGCCCCGCTGCCCTCCGCCACGCCCTTCGGCCCGCTCTCGCCGCCGCCGTTGCCTGTCACCGGCTTCTCGGAGGCCGCCTCCCCCTTCTCCATCCCCCTCGGCTGCGGCCGCGCAGGCAGCTCGCTCGCTTCCTCTTCCTCCGCGTTCCCGGCGCCTCAGCAGACCATGCAGGATGAGCTGTTGCTGGGCCTGACACAGCAGCCGGCGCGGCCGCTCTCGGGGGCGGCGGCCGCGGAGAAACTCCCCAACCCGCAGCCCGTCGGCGGCACGAACGCGGGTGTGACCCACCTCCTCCCCTCCCAGGACTTCCAACCGAGTCTGCACCACCCCTCCTCCTCCTCCTCCTCCGCCTGCTGCTGTTGCCGCACCTCCTCCCCGCAGGACTTCAGTCAGCAGCAGCAGCAGCAGCTGAGTAGCCAGAAGAGGAAAGAGTTCAGCCCCCCCCGCCTTCCCCACCCTCCGGACTCCAAGCCGCCGCCGCTCCACTGCCCCAGCCGGTTCAGCCCGCCGCCGCCCGGGCCGCTCCTCCACTCGGCGCGGCTCGCCCCGCGCCAGCAGCAGCAGCAGCACAAGCCGCCGCCACCGCCGTTCAGCCTCCCGCAACCGCAGCACCTCCCGCCTCAGGACTTCGCCCCGCGGCAGCGCCTGGCCGACCTGCCCCCGATCCCGCAGCTCCCGCCCTCGCCTCCCGCAGCCCCGCGGCGCCGCCACGGAGGCGCGAGCAGCCCTCGCAAGACCCCGGCCGCGGGCGAGGGCAGCGTCGCCGAGCCCCCCAATGCGGGCTTGGCCGCCTCGACGCCGCCGGTGAACCCCGCGCCGGGCTCCATGGAGTCCCCCAACCACCCTCTCCTCAACAGCCCCAGTAACCTCTTGCCCGGCGGGGCGCTCGGCGCGGGTGCCTTCAGCAGCCTGCAGAGCTCGGACCTTCCGCACCCGGGCGGCGGGGGCGGGGGGC